CACCCTAGAGCTCACTAGAAATACCAAAGTTAGTTCCACACTAAAATGGATTAGGTTTTAGAGTTTGTGATGTGTATCAAAAATTTAAAACCGTTAGTTATACAGAATGAGGTTTTTTTAAAAAAACCAAGGAAAGAGAACGTCTTTTTTCTGCTTATTTTCTGGAACCATAAGAAATAGAGGGTTTGTTATTACATTAGATATATAAAAGTGAAAATGAAGTCTCACAGTTTTCTTACATATCAATGTTAAATTTTGTCATTTAAACAGAATTATCAAAATTTAATTTTGCAGCAATGTACTTTTGGTATCCACTCTGCCCCAATAAATCTCATGAATAATTTTGGTCACTCAATCACACATAGGATCTTCTACTCTCATTCCTCCATAAAACTTTTACAACACTGTTAAACTTTTCACAGTTTGTCCACACCATTTCTTACTTTGCTATCCTATTTTACTTCCCTAGTTGGCAATCACTGTCATTCTCAGGATAAGAAAATGTACCTTCTTTGTTCATGAACACATTTTCACATTTTATAGTTTTCTTTATAAATCATTGTCATTTTTCTTACATAAAGAATTATTTCCCATTATATCATATAATAACCTAAATGTAAAGCAACTGCCCTAAACTTTTGCTCAATCACTAGATTTAGTATTTTGTCTTATTTACAAATAAGCTGAACACATAAAGAATATTATTTAATTTAGTGTAACATAAACCTAAAATTTTATGTTTCAGTAGAAACATTTTTAAGCAAGGGGAAATATATTTATGAATGCTTATGCAGTTTATATTTACCTAATTTATCCATTCTTAATAACTGTGTCAACTGTCTGTGGAAATTTTGAGGCCTTAAAGGAGGAGGTCATCATAAACTATTTTTAAGTTGAGGCCATTTTCCAAGCTAGAGTTCTATAAAGTTAAATATTTGTGGATCAGAATACAGTTGCTTTTTATTAAACCAACAATCTTAAAAAGTAGTTATCTTTTTTCCAGGGTTTCAAGATATGTACAATTTGATTATTACTTGGGTTCACATTTTTATTTTATGAGCACTCACTTCTTTTCAAATCACTTTAGTACCATGTAACCAATTTACAGGTACAGCATTCACACAGAAAATCATACAATACACACATGTACCCAACCATCCATAAATAAGATACAGAAAATAATGATTCTATAGCTATGATTTGGGATGGACATTGGCCAAGGCTTTTTTAAAAAAGATTTTTCCTTCAGAATATTGCTTTAATCCCTTCCTATGCAGTCTTTAGTCTTCAGTTTGTATTTTCAAAGGCTTCACTTTTAGCTAAAACAGAGTAGAAAATATATATCAAAAATACAAGAAATTACCAACAGAGTGAAGAGACAATCCACAGAGTGGGAAACATTTTATCCAGTCATCCCTCAAATGAAGGACTAATATCTAGAACATGCAAAGAATTGAAAAAGCTCAGACCCCCCCCCCTCAAATTTAGAGACCCAATCCAAAACTGGGCATGTGAAATGAATAGACACTTCTCAGTGAAATACAAACAACAAAATAAATATATGAAAAAATGTTCATCACTACTGGTAATTCGAGAGATGCAAATGAAAACAACACTAAGATTCCATCTCACTTCAGAAAGAATGGCTAATAACAAGAAATCAATCAACAACAAATGCTCGTGGGGACATGGGGGAAAAGGAACCCTGCCCCACTGTAGGTGGGAGTGCAGAGTGGTGCAACCACTTAGGAAATCAGTCTGGGGATACCCTCAATAAAATAAGATTAGGGATCCCACTTGACCCAGCTATTGCCATTCTGAGTATCTTCCCAAAAGAATTAAAACCATTATACCACAATGGTATATGGACATCCATGTTTATAGTGACATAGTTTGTAACAGCTAAATCTTGGAAACAACCCAAGTGCCCATCAATTGATAAATGGATAAACAAGATGTGGTTTTCTTTCATGCAATGGAGGACTACTCAGCCATAATGAAAATAAACTTGAGACATTTATAGCTAAATGGGTGCAACTTGAGACTATACTCTTAAGTGAAATCAACTGGGCACACATGAGCTCTCTGGTGTGAGAAACTGAAAGGGTAAATAAGGATCAAAATGTATAATAGATAATATGAAATAGAAATTGAACAAAAGGAAAGGGGGAACTGGGAAGGAGGAAGGGGAAAAAGAAAGAAAGGAAAAGCAAAAAATGAGAAAAGGAAAAATGGAAAAAAAGCTTTTGCAAATGAGGAAGAAGGGGAGTTGAATAGAGGGGAGGGGATTGGGAAAAAAAGAAGAATGAAGATATAATATGTACAAATTATATCCAGATATTATATCCAAGATATAATCCAAGTACAAATTCCCTATGATGAATGTGTGCATTATGTATATCTAAATCATACTGATAAAGTTAATTTCAAACAATACATATTGTAACCTAAACATCATTAAAACAAAGTCATAACAAAAGGCCAGGTCAAGGCAAGAAAGATTAAGAAGTGAAGTTGTCATTGAGATATAAGTTTAAATATTACCAGAAGTAAATGGTGATACAAGTGAAAATTTGTTTTGTAAAATGTATTAAAACGTTCGTATAGAGGGACAGAAATTCATTTACCAGAGGTTTAGCTCATCAATAACTCTTCCTACCCTAATTTGTTTCTGAATTAGATGTAGTATTTTAATAAGAGAGGCGAAGAACAATCTTTTTATACTCATTCAACTGAAGAACAGAGGCTTCTGACATCTTGCAAAGAGAATATTCCAGACGTTAAAAGTCTTCATTGCATGACAATTTGTACCCATCAAGTCATACAATATTTTTTATAGATCCATATCCAAAATTACAGATATACAGATATGTAAACTTTTTATCCTCCTGTAGACTATCCTACACTTCTAGTTTAGCATACAAGGAACCAATTTAGGAATGACATATGTTCCCACTGAAGGAAATATAAATCCCCTTTCTCCTTAGTTAAATGTCCCTGTTTTTCCAAGTGTTTGAAGCCAAGGCATCTAACTATCAAACATAAATCCAGCTGGAATAACAAATGTCAATTTCTCCCTAAACAATTCCTACTCTCTTTAATTTTTTTCCCTCATTATAACAGATGTTGCCCTTTCTGCTGAAAATTGAAAGCTTCTATGCTCAAAATTTCAATGATCAGGAGAAAGAGATGAAAAGGAGAAATGAAAATTTAGATAATACAGGAGTGACGGGGTGGATAAAAATCAAATGTTAGCAAACCAAAATTGAGACAGGTGTCCTGAAACAGTAAGAGTAGGACCTGCTAGTGGGACCTGCTGGTGCCGAAGTCCCTATAGCAACTGGAGCAGATTTAAAGCATTTAAAAGACCAATTACTTCATTTTTATTTCCTCCTAGTTTTACCCCACCGGAAGAGAAATAATGTCTTTCCTTCTTCTTGAAACTGTCAACCTCATTCCCTTCTCCTTAGAAGCTTTGTTGTGTCAAAGCATAAATGTCTACAGTATGTGATTTCACCCCATTCAGCAGATCCTTGACAAACCAGTTCCAATTGTAAAGATCAGGTGACCAGCCACTTTCCCCCCAAATCTAGCACACTCAGGCCATGTGTTTTCACCGTAGGATCCTTCCTTTTTCAACCAAAGGACTCAGAGGACATAGATGACATTGAAATCAAGTTATCTATTCTAGAAATAAAAGCACTTATAAGAGAAAAAGAAAAAGGTAAACCAACAAAGTTGAGTGCTCTCCACACCAACAGATTTCCTGGGAATATAAGCACTCTGAATCTTATTTCACAGACACTGGTAGGGCAAAATTTCCCAAGGAAGATCCAAATTGCTATTAAAATCCCAAATGAAAAAGAACTTCAGTGTGCACCCTGGTGAAGCACACCCAGGTGAAGTCACAGTCTCACAAAGACCAAAGAAAGACTCCTTCCACCAACAAAGCCTTTAGAGGCTGCTGATAATGGAGAGAAAGGAAAGAAGGCAGATGCCCTCTGGACAGCCCCTGGGAAGTCCCTACAGTGCCAACTGCAGTTCGGCTTGCCATGAGCAGCTGCTGCTTCTTTCTGTGCCATTCCTCATTTAGTGCCTTAGTTTTTGGATTTATAAAGTTTAGATTGTATTATGTACCTCATATGGCTTTATAAGGATTACTACATTAATATAAGCAAACAAGATAGAATATGATAGTCCCACCTTAGCCATGGGAGATACATTCCAAGACACCCAGATCATGCCAGACGCTAGATGTGTTATCAGATCCTATATACCCAGATTTTCTAATGTTTATATCATAAAATACGACATGTAAATTAAGCAAGTGAAAAACCAACAACTATCTGTAAAATAAAATAAAACGAACAACTAGAATAAAAATTATTGAAAACTTATGGATTATCTATTTCTGGAATGTGGCATTTAGTATCTTTGGTATATGTTTCACTATAACTGAAGTGGTGAAAAGTTAATACATATAAAGGAAGAAAGATTATACCCTGCAATGTACTAAACATTAAAAATGCAATTTAATATCATTATTTTATTTTCTACTTCCTATCTGTATCATTTCAAAGGAGAACAAATTTCCTTTTCTCAAGAGCACAACTTGATACTCATAATGCAAGTTAACATGGACATGTAAGGTCAGAACTGCCCTAAGACCAGGTAGAGAACTGTGAATGCACCAATGTAAATTAAATACTAAGGGTGCAGGGTTCACAAGAGCAAAAGATTACAGTTGAGTCAACCAAGTCCCTGATATTTTTGCTTGGGAATCAGGAAACCTGTCGCTCCCATCTTGCAACCTTCATCCCATTTATTTTCCTATTATACAGAACAATTTCCACCAGGTGGGTTTTCTACATAAAATTCTGAAAAAATGGAATAAGGCTGATATTTACAATTCACGCTGAATCATGTTGCATGTGTCCAGAATTGAATTCTAAATTTAGATTTTTTTCCTTTTCCATTGAAATCACTTTTGGCACCTATAGCCATGGGTGTCACCAACAAACCTGTGCATATAAATACCTGTGGATGGAAAGCCATCATCGTATTGTGCAGTCCATACAAAGAGAGTTACCATGAAGATCTTCATCTTTCTGGCTTTCCTGGGAGCTGCTGGTGAGTGTCCTCAGGGAACATATCAGCAGGTATATATGGTGTGTCTAAGTTTGTGTTTCATGCTGTGAAAAACTTAATTAATATTGAATACAGGTTCTGTGCTGGAGAAACTTAGAGGTGAAAGTCCAGTATTTAGTTAATAAGGTTATGGATAATTAAATCCCTTGTTTGAGAAAGATCATGTTGACTAGGAGTGTTTCTAAGAAGAATGCATAAAGAACTAGTCCGGAACTTGCAGGTAAATGCCATAAAGAAGGAAAGAAGAGGAAAGATAGTCCATGTAAAAGAATCATCTGTCTTGAACTCTCTGAGAATTTAGAGTTAATGATTATAACTACTCTGTAAACCCTTGAAACGGCCATAAATGCCCACGGCTCTATCTCTAGACTACTAAATGGCTGATTATTTATTTATTGTCTTCACCAAACAGATACTGCATTTCTCCCAGATGAAAACCTTGGGCTATGTTTCATGACAATGTTACTAATGCGATCTAACTGGTACAAAGACACATCACATTCAGTAATGAAAAAATAGAGAAAAATCTGTAATTTTGATACTTCTAAATTTTAGACACTCAAATTTAATACTAAATGTCAAAAATTTGCCAGGTATAATTTCAATCTATAGTTCTATATTCATGGAAACATTTTCCATAAAATTGTATTAACATATTAGAAAAAATATATTGAAATATTGGAAAATTTATGTATCATAATTGGATGATTATGGAGCTATAGGAAATCTTCATAGATCTGAGGACTCCACGTTACAGTATACAATATATCTGTAACTTTGAAAAGCTAATTGGGCTAAAAAGAAATATTGCCTAGAAGAAAATTATATAGTAACGTGAAATGATTGAACAAAATTTTAAGGACAGAAACAAAGACAGAAATTTGGAGAATAAAAGTAAAAATGCTCAGTCCCCATTATCCCAGAATGTTTTCATTCTGCATCTAAGATTTTCCTTCCTGTTACCCTATGGAGATAGCAATGCCAGAGAAACACCTCATCACCAAACACAGACACATATCAGTAAAATTACTGAAAAGTTCTCTACATATTCCAGGGCTGCTGAGCAGGGTTCTGTGTAAAAAGGGTTATTTACATCCCCGTATGGTGGCAGACATGCACGTTCTGCAGAGAGACTCTGATCAAAGCAAGCAAAGGCTCTTAAAAGTGTCTTTCTGTGCCTTTTATCCTATTCAGACTACTTAGGGCAGGTAGTATTCATACCCTTAATCCTACTGTTTTTGAACCTAGCATTGCACCAAGAATAAATCCTAGTGTCACACATTCTAGATCCAGCTTCCTCTGAAAAAGCCCCACCTATGACCACATGAGGCTTTGGGGGGACATCTAGACACAAACCATAACAGCTGCAATGTTCCCACAGGACAGTGGCCCCTGTGCCAGCTGGCAGAGACAGCTGGATTGCTTGACATAGAGAGGCGTTTGTTCTCCTGGGCCCTGGAGAATGGGCATGGGGGAGAGGGCAGGAGACACACAGCACCATGAGGGTAGGAAGATGGGGGACATGATCTCTCCCAGGGGACTGGCATTTTAGGTGCTGACCTTGAGGACATGCTATGAGGCTGGTGGGATTCACTGGCCCCAGGATTGTAAGATCTCTGTTTTTCAGAATCTTCAGTGAGGGCAGAGAAGAAAGCCTAAGGGATATCCAGGCTGTAGACTCCAGAAATAGAGACCTGGCCTTCCATGTACAGTGACCTGTCAGTGGAATAAAGCAGGCTCAAGGAGTGAACCTAAAAGCAATTTTCTTAAGCAACTTGTTTGATGGATTATACTTCCTTTACCCCTCAAGCTCAGGGAGTTCTCTGAGTGTTTTAGATAGAATTAAGACATAGAAATTCTACTATCACATTAGGTCTGAAACACACTGTCTCAATTCAGATATGATTCAGAAAATCATAAGGTCAAGTGCCTTAGATGATCCAACACTTCTGCATTCAAAGGCAAGACTTCTCTCTGCATGTCCTGCGTCCAGCAAGGGCTGGCTTCAAAGCCCATCTGCCTTGGTGAAGAGGTCATTGTCAGCTACTACATTTCTCCCTCTCCTCTTCCCTTCATGAGAAGCAGTATTTCTGACCATCGAAGCTGCAGTGTGAGGAGGAGAAGTTCCAGGGAGGAGTAAAGTTCTGATTGGAGGAGGAATCTCTCAAAAATCCTCTTGGCTTGGAGCAGCAGAAGGCTGAACCTAGTCTGGGAGATCTGCCACGTGCACCCCAGACTCAGCACTGTATCCCTAATCCCTCAACCACTCAGATCTTTCATAGCCTCCAGAATTCAGTCTGTTCACCACCAGATTCTGGCAGATGAGGCCCAGCCCCACTCAAAGTGGTCTTCTAGACAGGATCTATGGTGTCCTTTTTTCATGCATGCAGTCACATCGAGTCCACATATACAGGCACATGAAAAACCCTGGCCTGATTTTGCAGGCGAGCCCCAAACCAACAACTCCCAACCACCCCACAGCTGGCGCTTAGTCAGCCACAGGCTGTATGTCTGGAGATCGAGGCAGACACTGGTCTATGGTGGCCCCAAGTGAAGGGACACTACTACACTCCCATGGGTCCCTGCTGAATCTTCTGGAGCTGAAACTACACCTGAGAAGGGGCAAATAGCCCCACATACTTCTCTTTCTTATTGAGAAAACAACAAGTATGTATCCAAAGAAATATTTTATATCCAGTTCTTAGTATTTGCTTTACAGATCTTCCCCTTATTTATGTGTAATTTTGCATTCTTTTCCTACCTATTTTATTGTAATAAAATTCACGTAATATAAAATTTACTGTTTTTAAGAATATGGTTCAATGGAATTGAAAATATCGATTATACTGCACAACAGTTACAACCATCTGTCTCCATAACTTTCTTTATCTTCCCAAACTGAAACTCTGAAACCACTAAACACACTAATTCTCCCTCCGCCAGCCCTTGGCAACCACCATTCTTCTTTTTGTCTCTATGTCCCTGATTACTCTAGGTAACTTGTGTAAGTAGAGTCATACAGTATTTATCTTTTTGTGACTACGGTTAGCAAATAGCCTTCAGAGCCACCCATGCTGTAGCACATATTAGAATCTTTTTTCTTTTTAAAGCTGAATAATATTCCTTTGTATGCATATATTTTGTTTATTCATTCATACATAGACACTTGAGTTGCTTCTAATTTTTGGCTATTGTAATAGTGCTGGTATAAACATAAGAATACAGATATCTCTTTAAGACCCTGCTTTCAGTTTTATGAGGGTATATACCCATATATCCAGCAGTGGATCTTCTGATCAAAATAATCCTGTTATTAATATTTTGAGAAACTTCCATACTGTTTTCCATAGTGACTTCACCATTTTATATTACTGTCAGTGATACATATGGGTTCTAATCTCCACATTCCTTGCCAACACTAATTTCTTGTTGTTGTTTTTTTAATAATAACCAATCTATTGTGTGTCAAGTGTTATTCCATTTAAGGATTTGATTTTTATTGCACTAATGATTAGTGATGTTGAATATCTTTTCATATGCTCACAGGCTATTCATGTAACTTCTTTGGAAAATTGTCTATTCATGTCCTTTGCCCATTTTAGAATACACTTGTTTCTTTGCTTGAGTTGATTTAGCAGAATTATTTATATATTCTGGATAGTAATCCCTTATTAGATACATGATTTTACAAATATATTTTCTGGGCTACCTTTTCTTTCTATTGCTAGTGTCCTTTGATGCACAGATGGCTTTAATTTTGATGAAGTCCAATTTATCTATTTTTTTCTTTTGTTACTGTTTTTGGTGTCATCATTACCAAATCCAATGTCATGAAGATTTTCACCTATGCTTTCTTCTGCTAAGAGTTTTATCTTACTCTTCCACTTAGGTCCTCTATCCATTTTGAGCTACTTTTTGTATGTGGTTAGAAAGAAGTATGTAACTTCTTTCTTTTGTGTGTGGATATCCAGTTTCCCTAGCACCATTTGTTGAAAAGATTGTCCTTTCCGCATTGAACGCTCTTGACACCTTTGGCAAAAATCACTTCACCATACATGTAAGGGTTTCATTCTGGGTTCTCTATTCTATTCCATTGGTTTACAAGGTCATCTTATGCTAATACTACACAGTATTGATCACTGCAGCTTGTAGTAAGTTTTGAAATCAGGAGATGTGAAACCTCCAACTTTGTTTTTCTTAGTTGTATCATATATGGCATGCCTTGGTAGAAACTTGAATTTTATCAGCCTGATTTAGTTCTGTAATTTTCTAAGTAGTTCAAACCACATTTTCTGATGTGGCTAACACTGGCCCTGTTGGCCCTGCCCTTCTCATTTATCCGATGAACTCTTATTCTCCGTTAAATATATGTGAAAGACACTGCCTTTGCAAACCTACCTCTCTGCCCCTCTGACATCTAATGCTAATGAGTGGAAGATCTTTCTGAGTCCATCCAAAACTACCCTGACCTTCCTCTCAGGTCAGTGCTCTACTTGCTGGGGCATCACATGGCCTGTGCTTGATGTTCTGGGCTAGGAAAGCAGCAAAGAGGAGGTCCAGGACTCTGCCTCTCACTTCCCTTATCTCAAAAAGGGAAGAGAAAAGCATCTGGCTCCCACATCCAGCCATGGGCTTCCATAGGATGCTGTGGTTGGAAGTGCAGGGTCAGTGGAACCCTTTTATTCCTCCATCCTAGGTCCTGGCTCATGTGGCAGAGGTGGCTGCAGACTGTCAGTCAGAAGACTGAAATGTCCCAAATGCAGCAGTTTCAGGAGGACCACATGAAGAAGCATGCTTTGTGCCAGGTGTCTGGGCTCCTTGGCTACATGGTGCTGGTGTTGGTTTCTCTGTGCTAACCTCAAGAGCGTGTAGTAACTCAGGATTTTCAAAGGTCTTAGAAGCCACCTTAACCTCACTAGTGCTGTGAGGCAGGCAAGACATCAATGAGGACACCTGGTCTTAGAGATATTCAGCAACTTGCCCAAGGCCATCTGCATTTCGGTGGAGGTGCAGCTGGAAATAGAAGCCAGGCTGCCTGAGCCCTAGGCCCTTAGCCCATGGATTTCTGCCCTTTTCCGGGAAGGCCTCCTGACTCCACCTCTTTCATCTGTCACAGAAGGGGAGTGGAAGTGTGGGCTGAATATCAGAAGACGTGAACTCTGGCCTTGCCTTGTCACATATGCCCCTGCCTCTTCCTTGGAATAAACATTTGTCTCTTTCTGGGCCTTGGTTTCCTACACTGTAAAAAGGGAACATGACAGCTGGAGAGCAGAGGTGGGAGTGTAGGAAGTGGTGGCTGCTTAGTAAGGATACTGGCACACTCTTCTCCTCACTTCCTTTGTCTCCTTACTGGGTAAAGAAAAATGGCATTGAACAGATGTTTAAGAAACCTGAACTCCATCCCCGCTCCCCCTGTGCTTCCCTGGGCCTCACTTTCCCTTTTGCACAGCAGGAGCTTGAACAGTGATTTCTGAAGTCCCTCCCAGCTCTGGGGCTCTATCACTCTTCTCCTTTTTGCTTCCTTTTCTTCCTCTTGTTCCTGCACTTCTGAGGTAGGAAGAAGACACGTTGCATGTGTGTGTACACGTGTGTGCATGCATGTTGTCTGCGGACACTTGTGTGTACAGGTGAGTGCACTCGTGTGTGTATGAGGCAGTCCTGCTGTTGGTGGGGTGGTGGTGAGGAGAAAAGTGGGCAGGACACTGCCGTGTGCCAGCAGGGCTCTGAGCTCTGTCAAGGGCTCACAGTGCTTGGGGCTGTTTAATCATTAAAGGAAAAGAATGAAGCCAGGAGAACCTCAAAATCCAGCCTGCTAAGGACCGACACCAACAGATGAGCAAGGAGCTGGCAGCAATGGGCCCTGGAGCTTCAGTGGATGAGATGAAGACAGAGGCAGCTCTGCACTCAGCCCTGGGCTCTGAAGTCAGCCTGCACACCTACGACATCTTGGTGGTGGTTGTCTACTTTGTCTTCGTCATTGCTGTGGGGATCTGGGTGAGCGGGGCCTGAGGCCAGGTCTGTAGAGCAGGGAAAGCAGAAGCAGCCTCTCATCTGGAGCTGAGGGCAGGATTGGGAAAAAGAAAGCAGATCACATAACTAAAAGAGCAGAGAGGATAAAAACTTCCGGAATCACCCCCCCCCACGCCATGCCCTTCTCTCCATAGAAGGGCAGACTGAGACTCAAAGAAGGCTGTGGCTTGTCCGAGGTCACTAAGCAAGGAGCCCCAGCTCCTGCCTCCCTGTATACACATCTGCTGCCTTTGGCCCCAGCCATCCCTGAGCCCTACTGCTGCCTTCTTCCCCATCTCAAGACCTGCAACTTAGAAAAATACCTTGACCTTCCCCTAGTCTTCTTTGTGTCATGACCAGGAAGCTGGGGCTCTGCATTCTCAGGGAAGGAAGGGTGCCAGGCACATTCCAAGGTCCCACTGCTCTCTGTTGTTCACAGGAACCAGGGAGCTGAGCACAGGTCCCAAGTCCAGCAGTCAAAGTCTCCTTTCTGAGTCTCGGTTTTCTCTCATGGACATGAGGAATAGGCTGAAGCTGTGGAAAGGACAGGACGCATGTAATCTTGTGCTTAGAACCTGGCACACAAGTGGTAGACAATAAAGGGCTTCTATCTTCACCAGTGCTCTGCAGAGCTGCCAGCACCTTTAGACTGCTTCGGAGCAGACTGTAACCTGATTCCTGAGCTGTGAGGAGGCCAGGAGCCCTCTCTGAGCCTCCACCCTCCGCCCTCAGTAAGAAGTCATAGTCCCACCTCCCAGCACATCTGCTGGAAGAAGTGGACAGACAGGTGCTCAGTAGCTCCCAGGAGGCAGCCTGGGTGAAAAAAGCCAACTCTGCCATGAACTAGACAAGTCACTTCCTGCCCGAGGGAATTTCCTCATCTGTGAAATGAGTTTGTGCTACTCCTGTGGCCTCCAAGAAGATCAGAGGTGAGCCAGGACAGTTGAAGCACAAGCTTAACAAGCAGCAGGCCCTGCAGGAGTTATCACTCCTTTTCCTTCCTCACACCCCAGGGCTTCTCCTGTCTCAGAGCCAGGCAGATACCTACTGCCTTTCCCACCAGGATAACTACTTCGAGTTCCTCCTTCCCTGGTCAGGGCCAGCCCTCATCCATGTCCCGAGAAATCTCTTGTGCTCCTCAAATCCTTCATTTTTTAGAGCATAAACCTAACAGGCCACAGACTGTCCACCTAGTGGCTACTTTCAGGATACTGGACAGAGCTCGGTAGTGTGGTTTACCCTCAAGCCAGGCAAAGTGAAGCCTCCAACCAGCTCCCCTTGTCCTGCCCAGGGCGCAGAGGCCCATAGTCAGACTGGTCAGAAAGGCTACCATCTGCAGTGTGGGACCCTGGCTGGGAGGAGGGGAGAGGCCAGCTCAGGAGCAGCATCCACTATGTGCCTGAGGCCCAGATACCACATCATCTCCTGAGAGCCACTGTGAGGGAGGGAAGGACAAGGAAGGGCACACCAGCGACCACCTGGGACCCTTGCATAGCACTTCGCCATTCACAAAGACCTTGGCCATCCTTTCCTTCTGTGCTCTTCACCTCAGCCCCGGGAGATGAATGTTGAGAATCACAAAAATGAAGTAACTCTCCCAAGGACTTGTAAATTAAAAATGGTGAAGCAGGCAGCAGATGGGCTCCTCTGTCCTGCCTCCATTCTCACCCTCTGTGTCCCCACAGTGCCTGCACCCAGGGACAGGGAATCTGGGGTGGAAGGCAGAGACTGGAGAGAACCTCCGGAAGTTCTCATCTTTTGCCATTTTCTTTCCAGTCATCAATCCGTGCAAGCCGAGGCACCATTGGTGGCTATTTCCTGGCAGGGAGGTCCATGAGCTGGTGGCCGGTGAGTGTCCCCCCCCCCCCCATCCACATCCTCCTGTCATCTTCTCTTGCCTGGGCCAAGGCACCAGTCTCCCATTGGGGTTCCCAGGTCTAGACTGCTCTCCTACCCCAATCCACCACACACCCGAAGTGGCCTTGCTAACACAGCTTGACAAGCCTGGTCCGAACCTCTTGGGCATGGGTCCTAGGCCGGCTCTGGACCTACAGAAGTAGATCTAGAGTGTCCCTACCCTAGAGTAGCTCAGAGTTTAGTTGGATGGAGAGACTCATGTTGCTCATGAGTCAAAGCTGAGCTAGAGGGAAGCCTGGGAGTCTCGAGAGCGTCAAGGATGCCCTTGCGCCCGGCAGTGGGGCGGGGTTTAGGGGAAGAAAGACTTCCTTGGGGAAAGGACACTGAGTGAGCTGAATCCTGAAGAGCAGTCAGGTGAGGAGATCCAGAAGCAAAATCCCCAACCAGCACAAGAAATCAATCCCCAAATCTTTGTGACCCTCCATCTCTTCCATCAGACCGTCCCATATTTCTATTGGTCCTCAAAACTAACTTCCTCCTCCACGGGATGGGGGAGGGTGGCCCTGCGTGGAAAACTAGTAATGGAGTCACCATTCCCGTGGGAACTGACGCTGTGCTCGCTCCCAGGCATGCCAACCCTGCACACTCACTCACACGCTTAGGCACCAACCCTCCCACGGGCCCACACTCACCCGTATGCACACTCGCCTACTCTCTCACTCACACTCTGCCACTCATACCCTCATTCACACTCACACGCACTCTCGCACACTTTCTCACACTCCGCACACTCATGCCCTCTCTCACTCCCATTCACAGTCGCTCGTGCACTTCTCACTCACACTCACACTCCCATGCTGGTGAGCCCGGTCTCACGCACCCTTAGGAGCACACCCTCACAGGAGAAGGAAACCCACGGAAATAGTTCTGCTTAGCCGGTGGCTCCAGAAGCGTAGCCCTGAAGCTGAGTCAGATAAGGAGGAAGAAGCTGGTCTGGGCAGGCTGTTCTGTTGTGTAGAAAGCCCAGGCCCTGCTGACTGTGCACTTGGTCTGAAGAGGGCAGAGTGCTGGCCCCACCCACTAAGGGCCCGAGGAAAGCCAGGGCTCCAGCAGAAGATGTCCTGACGGACAAGGCCAGGTTCCCCTGAGCCTCACACTGTGCGGTGTGCTGTTGCCACCCTCCTCAGGTGACTGGGCTGTGAGCTGTGCCTTCTGCACCCGAGACCTGATCCAGCTTGAGGCTGGGTGCAGATCCAGCCTCAGATTGTTTCTGTTACTGTAACAAACGCCTGAGATGATCAACTCCACGCTCAGGGCAGAGCTGCTGGAGCTGTGTGCCCAGGTGCCCTTCCAGTCCTGACACTGTGCCCAAGGGAGATGTGTGCCTGCAGGGCTGTCAGCAGGACAGCAGCCATCCCTGCTCAGAGAGGCCTGCGTGGTCTTCCTCGTCTTACCTTGCCCCATCCATGTCTCTCAGGCGCGCCTCATTCCTGGGGAAAACTTCTCGTGCAGTGGGGGGCTGTGCTCTCTCTTCTGGCCTAGCGCTACAGTCCATCCCTGCCAGTGCGCTTGGGCCGCCCAGGAGAGTGCATGTATAAGTGCATGTGTGTGGAAGAGTATATGTGTGAGCGTATGTAGGTGCCTGTGTGTGAATGTATGCCTATGAGTGTGCACGTGTATGTTCCTATAGGGAATGTGCATGAGTGCAAGCTATGTGTGTAAGAGCATGTCAGAGAGTGTACATGAGTGTGTGAGTGCACATGCACGTGTGGGTGTTCGTGTGTGAGCACGTGCATGTAAACATGTGTGTGAGTGCGTGTGTAAATATGGAAGTGCATGTGAGTGTATACGTGAGAGTATGTGTGGATGTGTGTGCATGTGTGTGGGTTTGAATGTGCAAGTGTGAGTATACATGTGAGTGAGTGTGCGTGTGTGTGCACGCCCAACTGCATACGCGCAGCACGAGGGACTCGGTAAGGTGGGGTCACTCACTTCCGTGCCTTTGCACTGCTCTGCTGCCCTTCTCTGAATTTCTCAGTCTTTTTCCCTTTTTACCACTTTCCATCTCCCAATATCCCTAAGAAGAACGAGAAGTTGGGAGAATGGGAGTCCCCGGGCTTTGTAGGTGAGGAGAGTGAGGCTTTGTGAGAGGAAATGACTCTCTGACGGGGACTCGAGGTACAAAGCTGGAGCACAACTCTTCCCTCTGACCCCGACCTGTCCCCAAGGTCTCCTCAGCCTCCTCCCAGGCTCTGAGTCCCACCCTCTGGGCCCCCTGCCCGCCCGTGTTGGATCCCATCCAATAATAAGCGACAGCATGGTGTAAGTGCTTAGTGGGTTCCAAGCACCTTTTCATCATGGATGTGGGAGCCAAACAGCCAAGACTTTAATCCTCATTTGTTCACTTCTGAAAGTTTCTTATCTATGCCTCAGTTTCTCCATAAATACTATACAGGAGGAATTGTGTTAGTTTTCTGCTATTGTAACAAATTCCTAGGATGACCAACCCATTAAGAGAAAAGGTTTCTTTCCACTCATCTCTTGGCTAGGGAGTAAAAGAAAAAAGAAGATTCCAGGTCCTATAATTCCCTTCAAGGACATACTCCCAAGGACCTATGACTTCCCACTGCTGAAACACAGCAATAACAGTACCTACTTTTATTGGATTGTTTTGAGGATTAACTGATTTTATATATACAGTGCTTGACAGTGCTGTGTGAGTACTACCTGCTGTGATTGTTGGCATTATAATTACCATCATCATTCCCTTCCATCACCTTACAAGAGTTGGCCTCCCTCTGGAGAAAAAGAAAGTATACTCAGAGGCTGGCCTGGCCTGTGCTCAGCCTCTGACCCCTCCCTCTGCCCAGCCTTGCCCCGGAGCCTGCAGGAAAAGGGCAGGCAGGGCTTCCTGTTCAAGCTCCGCCCCCAGCCCCTCCAGCGTCCTTCTCTCTGGAGGGCCTGAGATTGATGACCCAGTGCAGGGCTCTATCCTGCCTACCCAGACCTGCTGCTCCTGGCTTCTTTTCTGGCCCACTTTGCCACTTCCTCACTGGGTGACCTGTGGCTTCACTCGTCCTAACGTTAGTTTTTTCCTCTGTAAATGTGGAAGACCAGTGCTCCTCCCTCTGGCTATTTATGGAGATTAAATGCATTAGGGCATATAAAGTGCCTGGTGCAGTGCCAAATAAATGTGAGTCCCATGCCATCTCCCATGGTAATGGTCCTGACTCCAGATCAATTCAGATTAACCCTGACCTTTGACCCTATTTTTGCCTTGCAGATTGGCGCATCTCTGATGTCCAGCAATGTGGGCAGTGGCTTGTTCATTGGCCTGGCTGGCACAGGGGCTGCTGGGGGCCTTGCCGTGGGTGGCTTCGAGTGGAATGTAAGGAAGCCGACGTGGCTGCTGTCGGGGAACAAGGGTACCGGGCACACCCTCTTGCCAGCCTTAGTGCTGAGAGAAACCTTAGAGGAGTTTGGGAGGCTGCCTGGTGAATGGAGAACTCATTATACAGATGAGGAAAACAAGACCTGGAGGAGGTGGGTTGGGATCAGTCCTGGGTCGCCTACTTCCCTGCTCAAGGATTTCCCACAGTACACACTGCCTCTGGATAGGAGGCTTCCCCTTCAACTCTGTCCGTGATCTTGGTAACTTCTTCTCCTTATATTCCCAGGCAGTCTTCCTGCTTCTGGCCCTTGGCTGGGTCTTTGTCCCTGTGTACATCGCAGCTGGTGTGGTCACTATGCCACAGTACCTGAAGAAGCGGCTTGGGGGGCAGAGGAACCAGGTGTACATGTCTGTCCCGTCTCTCATCCTCTACATCTTCACCAAGATATCGGTGGGTATCACTCCAAAGTGGCGGGGTTGTCTCTCTGCAAATGCTGATTAGGGAACTGCTGAATGCATTGCCAGGGGCTTGAGGCTGACAGGAAGCTCACATTCACAGTTTGGAAGAAGGCAGAAAGGGAGGAAAAATGGAAGGCAGGAAGGAAGGAAGAGGGAGGAAGGGAGGGAAATAAGAAGGAACAGCGGAAGAGAAGAGGAAGGAAGGATGGCTGGATAGATGGAAAGATAAAAGAAAAGAAGGCTCCATCTACACACTTTTCATTGTATGCCCCCCTTCAGCACTGGGACAATCAGAGAAGAATGATAAATGTTTTAACTGAATGACAGCTCTTATTCAAAAAACTCACAATCTAGAGTTCATTCTTTCAACTGCCTTTATATTAGTTGCTTCTTCATCAGCAACTGTTGGTTAAGTGTTAGAGTTAGAAAAAGCTTCTGGGTCCTTCCCTCTGCAGACTGACATCTTCTCTGGAGCCCTCTTCATCCAGATGGCTTTGGGCTGGAACCTCTACCTCTCCACAGTGATCCTCCTGGTGGTGACAGCCGTCTACACCATCACAGGTAGGGCTGAGGCTGAGCCCCAGAGAGAGGTGGAGAGGGAGGCTTTGGGCAGAGGCAGAGAACAAGACTGAAGGACAGAGACAACCAGAGAGAGGAACAGACGATTGGTCCTGAGAGAGAGAAGAGAAAGACAGGAACAGAGTCCAAGAGGGCCAAGGCGATGACACATGATAATAGAAAAACACAGAGAGACAAACTGTGGGACACAGTAGGACAGGAAAAGGGAGATGAAAGGGCCAGAAATGAAGAAACCGTACCAGACAGAGATCAGACAGGAGAGACACAGAGGCACTGGAAAAGATCGTCTGCATCAAGTAGAGATTAGGAAGCTGCTGTCTGCACCAGCATCATGGTGAGCTGCCCCAGCAAATGCCACAGACACACTCTCTCCTGTTTCCTCCAAAATGTCTCATACAGGGCCAGCCACCTTGGGCCACCAGCACAGGACATACTCACTTATGACTATGTTGGCCTTGAAAGATGGAGACATTTAGATAGACACTGATTGGGAGGGAAAAGAGAGAGCATTCCTGGTGGAGCTAAGAGCACAAGTAAAGGTCAGGACTTGGGTCACTGACAAGGACAACAAAAAGCCATGGCGTGACGGCCTTGGTAAGATGCTATCAGAGACAGAAAGGGCCACATGAATACACTCAAGTATGACCAGGCTCTGTCCTCTCGGGCTGGGGTAGAGGGAAAGGCTAGATGTGGGGAAAGGCAGGTGACTCGAGCCCACTGCTAAGAGGCCTGTGTCTCCTCTGGTCTCCTCAGTGTGGCCAGAGAAGAACCCCTGTTGGTGCTGATTGATGTGCCCTCTCCTTGGGTCCCCAGGTGGTCTCATGGCTGTGATCTACACAGATGCTCTGCAGACAGTGATCATGGTAGGGGGAGCCCTGGTCCTCATGTTTCTAGGTAAGAAAGAGGCCTACGTGCCCTCGCTGTCACCCCTAAATTCTTCCTCTGTTCTATTTTTGACACCTCCATGGGTTACCTAGGACTTTCCTGATCACAATCATGCCCTGTGTCCAAGTCAGGGCTCCCAACAGGCAGAATTCTCTCTACTCCAAACCCAGGGTCTGGAACCTGAGCCTCATCTCCCTTCCCATTCCCATCCCTCAAGCGGCTCCAACCCAGAGCCTCACTTGGGGCCGGGAGCACAGGCTGGGTGTGTCCCAGGGATTTTCTCTCACTGCATCTCTTCTCACAGGTTTTCAGGAGGTGGGCTGGTACCCAGGCCTGCAGCAGCTGTACAGCCAGGCCCTCCCTAATGCCACAGTCCCCAACACCACTTGTCACCTCCCACGAGCAGATGCCTTCCACATGCTTCGGGACCCTGTGAGCAGGGACATCCCACGGCCAGGGCTCATTTTCGGACTCACAGTACTGGCCACCTGGTGTTGGTGCACAGACCAGGTAAGGCCTGGCCCACCTGGAAGTAGGGTGGCTTCCTGCAGACAAACTGGGCATTTGGATGCATCGAAGGTTGGACTTCATTCTAGGATTGGAGTAGGGGCCCAGTCAGAGAGCAGGGTCAGGGCTCACCTGTGGCTGAGCTGAGTCCCACCAGTCTGATCAGCACACCTCCATTGTTATTGCCATTCCAGGTCATCGTGCAGAGGTCTCTGTCAGCCAAGAGTCTGTGCCATGCTAAGGGAGGCTCAGTGCTGGGGGGCTACCTGAAGATCCTCCCCATGTTCTTCATCGTCATGCCCGGCATGATCAGCAGGGCCCTGTACCCAGGTAAGAATGAGCCTTCTTACTGGGCCTTGGGCCTCAGGACTTGTTCCTGGGCAAGGTGGACCAGAGAAGGGTGGCAAGCTTTCTCTATTAAGATCTCATTGTAAGCAGTTCAGAATTTAAAGGCCAAAGCACTTAAGCATTTCAGTAGAATAAATATGTATCTCAATGCTGTTTTAAAATTCTGCTTCCTCTTTTTTAAAAAAAGCAAGGCTTTCTTCTTTCCAAGAATATTTGCCTTTATCAAGATATAAGACATAAATCCTAGAGGAATCTATCCCTCATTGCTGAGTAGTATGCATCATGGACAAGAAATTCATCCAAAATCCAATGCTACTCACTCCTTGACCTTCTAGACAAGCTCAGAGTCTCCAGTGAACATTTTCCTACAGTGCCAGAAAGCAAATCCTGGGCCATCCTGAGGAGGCACAGGATCACGCAGCTTCAACTGCCATGCCTTCTTCTGCAGATGAGGTGGGCTGCGTGGGCTGCGTGGACCCCGAGGTCTGCCAAAGAGTCGGTGGGGCCCGAGTGGGATGTTCCAACATTGCCTACCCCAAGCTGGTCATGGCTCTCATGCCCGTCAGTGAGTCCCATCTTGCCCACTCACCCTCCCACTCCCACCTGCCAGCCTTCCAGTCCCCACTGATGAGGAGGGATTGTGCTATGAGTGGGTGGGAAGAGGGAAGATACAGACTCGGTACAGACTCGGTTCTGTACCCCTGCCTAATACATGCACACACACAACCACACTCCCCCAAGCATTTGTAAGGTGCCTATTCTGAGCCTGGTGTTGGAAATGTGGAGATAAGGGCAGGTCCCAGCTCTCAGGCTTTATGCAGTCTCCAGGGCACCTGGGCTCAGCAAGGATACAGTACAAGGTGACCTGGTGGTAAAGGGCAGCAGAGGAAGGAAGCAGAGCAGAGTCTCAAAGAACACTTTAGGCAGAGCTGATGGGGCAGAGAAAATGTTGTTCTGGGCCGGGGATTTAGCTCAGTGGTTTCTCAGCCTGCTGCACAAGTGCAAGGACCCAAGTTCGATCCCCGGTACCAAAAAAAAAAAAGAAAAGAAAAGAAAAGAAAATGTTGTTCAAAAGAGAAGTTGTGTGTGCAAACACTCAGGAGAGAGAGCGCTAAATGAAAGGAGCGCAGTATGAAACCAGTGGCAAGGAGCAATGAAGATGACCTTCCTGAGGGGTTGCCATGGCCCAGCCTGGTTCTAGAAGGGAGCCTTTCCTCCAGGAGCAATGGAGGGCACTGGGGGAGGGAGGCAGAGCGAGGGTGATAGGTTTGTGCTTCAGAAGAACCACTCTGCCTGGAGGACTCAGCAAGGGGACAAGCTGTCTCTCACACCCCATCTCTCCCCAGGTCTGCGGGGCCTGATGATTGCTGTGATCATGGCGGCCCTCATGAGCTCACTCACCTCCATCTTCAACAGCAGCAGCACCCTGTTTGCTATTGATGTGTGGCAGCGCTTCCGCAGGAGGGCCACAGAGCAGGAGCTGATGGTGGTGGGCAGGTGCGTGCCAGATCTTCCATGCTTTCAGAGCCCCCTCTCTTCTCCCTTCCCCACCCCTCCCCAGGTTACCCTGAGGAGACAGCTGGGGCTGGGCCTGGGCCAGCCCTCAGAGCACTGGGTGCCAGGGCAGACCTGCGGAGTGACCTCAGGCAAGTCCCTGCACCTCTGGACCACTCCTCACTCTCCAGAATAATGGGGAGAAGAATCTCTTCCCTGCCTTTGGACTTTCCCTTGGAATGGATCAGTGGGGTAACTGGGAGATGACAAAGCACTTGAGAATGAGAGGTGAAGCACGTGAGTAGGAGGAAAGGCAGCAGGCAGCTCACCACAAGGCCTTTCGGGTCAACTCTGCCTGCTACCCTGCCTGCTACCCCAGAATGATAGTAGTGTTTAATCCAATCCGTCAGGCTTACTCCAAATAGCCACTGTGGGCCACACCCTTGAGCTGGCAACCAGGAGAACAGGGGAGGTTCACAGTCTGGTGAGAAGGGCAGAAACAGGTGTATTACACTGCATTAGCAGGGCACCTGCCTCAGGGAATAGTTCACAGAAAAGTTGTCCCCAAATGATGCATAGCTTTGAAATTGTTCTATAGAACTTGAACTGTACCTTGTAGGCATCAGTTATGGTTTTAAAATCATAACTGGGCAGTTAATTTATCTTGTTCTCCATAGACTGGGGATTTACAGTTTGCATAGAGCTAAGAGGGCCTTTCTGAAATTGCTGCTTCATAGTTAAGTCTCCCTAACTCAGGCCTCTATCCTAAAGGGCATACATTCTCCCTTTGGTGGGTAGGAATGTGAGTTTAGCTATCTTGCTCTTGAAGCCTCCCTACCTCTGCACTTGAAGCTCCTACCATCTGGGTGCCCCCTGCTGCCTGTTCATCTCTGCAGCCCAGCCCTAGGCACCATGTTGGGGGAAAGTGAGACAGCTCGGTGTTACAGCCAAGTGTTACAGCTCTGCATTATAGCTATAGGCATTTGAAGACACAAGAATCTGAAAGCCACTTGAAGAGGTGAAGAAAAACTGAGATGTATTAGACCAGCTGGCTCAGGAGTTTAAGTACTCTCAATTCTGAACCCTGGGTTACGATTTTATATACTGTTGAGGAAAGGAAGTGGAGAGGAACCTTTTAAGACTTAAACATAGCTAGGAGCAGGAACCTCTTGGGGCAGAATTAACAGAACATTCTTGAAACCTTAGGTAGAAACATGGTACAAACAGTTAGATTGTTTGAATAGAACACTGATACATTGGGCAGAAACATCCTACAGCACAAACGGTTACATTTCTTGAACAGAACACTTGATGGAAAAACACGGGGGTGGTGGTGGGGCTACCTTGTTGTGCGTTATTGCTTAATCACAGGAAGTGAGCTCCTGGGATCTGAGAGTAGGACAAAAGGAAAGGGAGAGCAATAGTGGGGCCCCGTGGGTAACTGCTGCTCTAGTGCAGTCAGAGAGAGGGAATATGGGAGAAAAGGGATGAGGACAAGTGTGCAGAGACCTTCAAAAGGTTTGCTGCCACTTAACTTCATCAATCAATGGAATTTTGGCGCCATCTCCTGTTCATATGCATTATTACATCCAGCACATCCAAGAAAAGGTTTGTTGTGTTTTTTTTTTTTTATCAACTTGCTCATCTACAAAAGTCACACACCTCCAGCGTGCTTTGGTGATTTAAGCCTGAGTGAGGATCAGTGTAAGTGGATTCAAGAGCGAAAGGTGGCGCCATAAGCTTGGTTCCAGTGTAAGGGAGGAAAAATTCGAGCTGAAGGAGTCTGGAGAAGGGACTGGAACCACCAGGCAGCTGTGTCCTGCGCACAGCCTGGAGGCAGAGAGGAGGAAATACGTTGCAAGAAGAGGCCAAAGGCCTTTTCCTAGGTTGGGTGGGGTGAAGGTATGGATTATTTTTTCAACTGTGGGCGGGTGGACAACATGATCTCCAAGGAGTTCAATGTGCAAATACCAAGGTTTTAGAATTCTGAATTTCTCAGATTCGAAATTCTGATTTCTGGCATGCTAAGTCTAAATTTCTGCATCTTAGTATTTGGCATTATGACATTCTAACCTATGACCCTGAGAACGTGCAACGTGCAACCCTCTTCTCTCTTCCTGGTCCCCGTGCATTACCTTCAGGACACCCCTGCCACGCCTACATGCATGCACCCTACAGCACCCTGTGCTCTCTCGCAGAGTGTTTGTGGTGTTTCTGGTTGTCATCAGCATCCTCTGGATCCCCATCACCCAGAGCTCCAACAGTGGGCAGCTCTTCGACTACATCCAGTCTGTCACCAGCTACCTGGCCCCACCCATCACTGCCCTCTTCCTGCTGGCCACCTTCTGCAAGAGGATCACAGAGCCTGTGAGTGAAGCCTTCCCCTCTCTCCCTCAGCGGAGAGTCTGGAGTCCTGCTCTGTCAATCACCTGGTCTCTGGGACGCTGGGACAAATCCACAGCCTGCTCTAGGATGCCATCCTCCTGACCATAGCATCAGGCCTAGATTCATTTATTCACACAGAAAATACTTAAAAATTGGATTATGGCAGCTCCAGAGAACATTTACAATGTTCACATAGGTCTGTCTTGCTGGGCCCTCAGAAAGGAGAGATGATTAATAATGATAAAGTACAACGGCTTCTGGGAGACTGATAAGCACAAATTCTAACTTAGGGGTTTCCTGCGATGAGATCAGGGAAGGCTTCCTGGAGGAAGTGGCATCTGAGCTGAGACCTAAAGGATTAATGGGAGGAGGGCGAATGTTCCAGACAAGAGGAGCATGCGTGTGAAAGTGCAAGGCACACTGAAGGTCTCTGACACTGTAGTGTTCTATACATAAGCTGAATAACAGAATGAGAACATTCATGACGAAGTGCGAACTCACAGGGGTTGCCCACACACTCGCCATTCATGTAACTGCACTGAATCTGGCAAGTCTGGGAGGAAGCTAGAAGACCAGAGACTTGCTAACCTCAGGATAGTCCAGGGAAGACAGGACCAAATCTGCTGGCTGCACCTTGCGACATCAAAGTACTCTGTGAACCAATGTGAGAGTTCAAGGTCTTCCCAAAGGAGATCTGAGAGACCCCACCCTGGATAGCCTGAGAATGTGAGGTGTCTACGGCAAGAATCTAATCTTGCTGATGGCGGGACCTAGTTGCTCCTGGGTGTTTCTGCTCATTTTAGATTTCTGAAGTCAGAATCAACACCTCATTTTCAAAATACAGGTCATCTTATGCACACCGGGAACAGGCCCAGTTTGGAGACAAATGAAACTGTAACAAATGTGAGGTACCAGAGATTTTCTTTTTAAAAAAGGGAATCTCTATTCTGATTTCTGATTTATCGTAACAGAGAGCTATGAAGGGGATTCTGGTTTTCTTATCACAAAAACATCCCATTCTATTTGAATATGGAACATCTATTACTTAGTACTTATCCATTTCTCTTTTCATTGCACAAAAGAAAATTCTGACCCAGCAAGGCCAGTCCATTGGTTCAGAGTCATTTGGAATGGAATCAGATTCAGATCCCACGTGGTCTCTGAAGCCAATAGCCTTTTCGGTGCCCTGCTTTGCCAGCCTTTTAAGTCAAGACAGAGCCTCAGCACAAACAGGAAACTGACCAAGATAGACTTGCCCAACACTGTGATAAACCAGTGGATGGAGACAGGGCCAGAGAGCTTTCAGCTTCCTGGTGTTCCCTCCCCCCAACCTCACCCCTGCCATGTGACTGTCTCTCCACAGGGAGCCTTCTGGGGCCTCCTGTTGGGCCTGGGCGTAGGCCTTCTGCATATGATCCTGGAGTTCTCATACCCGGGCCCAGCCTGTGGTGAGGTGGACCGGAGGCCAGCCGTGCTGAAGGACTTCCACTACCTGTACTTTGCCCTCCTCCTCTTTGGGCTCACTGCTATCATCATTGTCGCCATCAGCCTCTGTACTACACCCATCCCTGAGGAAGAGGCAAGTGGTGCTCTCATGCTGAGCACCTACCCACCCAGCGAGCTCAGAGCCTGCAGTTCCATCACTGGCTTTTACCCCTGAAAATGGTTTTTTCTCTTGCTGCCATATAGACATCCTTGAGAGCAGCTCTTTGTGATATGAATTTCCAAGTGAAAGGAAACTCATTCAATTCAGAAATTACTCAATGGATACCCACTGTGTGCCAGGCACTGTGCTAGGCTTACAAAAATGATGGTCTCTGCCAGCAGCTGCCCACAAGGAACGGATGGTAACACCCAATGCTACTACACAAAAGGAAGGTGCAGGGGGCCCAGGCTCAAGGGGAGGGGCCAAACTCAGAAGGGAGGTGGTCTTCACTTGGGGTCCATGGGAGGGAAGAGTAGAGATTTTAAGGGTCAAGAAGCAAGAACATGAGAGAAGAAACAGTGTGCTAGATTAAGAGCTCAACCTGGCTCTTAAGAGCCGATTGATGTACCCATCTTTGAGCACTGATACCCAGTCTTTTAAAGTTTTTGCTGCAGAGTCTGTACTAATTTTCTAGGGCTGCCATAACTAAGGACCACAGATTGTGGCTTAAGTAACACAAATTCGTTGTCTTTCAGCTCTGGAGGCTGTAAATCTGAGTCCAGGGTGCCAGCAGGCTTCTCCAGGAGCCCCTCTGGGTGGCTTTTAGATGACTGTCTTCTCCTTGTGTCTTCATATGGTCTTTGCTGTGTCTGTCTGTGACTTAGTGTCTTTTTTAAGGACACCAGTGATACTGGATTAGTGCCCATCCATAACTTCCCATTTTACCTTAAGTACATTTATAAGGATTCTATCTCCAACTGCAGTTGTATCCTGGAGTAATAGGGGCTAAGTCTTCAATATGAATTTCCAGGCCTTAAAGCTTGCAAACTCCCACAGTAGCTGCCTTCAGAACTGATCCCCTGTTGCTGAGTCCTCAGGTTCTCCACTGTCTGCCTTCTCACACATTCCACTGAGGCTTCTCCTGGTTAGGGTTCTTCCCAGGATTCTGTCTTCTATTACTGCTCCCCCCCTTCTTCTCCCATCAACTGTAAACTTTTGTGAAGAGCAGCCTCCATCCTTAGCCTCCACTTCCCATCACTTGCCTACTTGTCAACCCACTGCACTCTGGCTGTTGTTCCTGGCATGCCACTGAAAATTCCCTCACTGAGGCCACTCATGACTTTGGGTTGGTAAATCAATGATCACTTCCCTGCCTCTATCTCCTTGAATTCCAAAGAGAACTACCCACCACCGACCACCTTGTGAACCTGGAAGACCTCTCATGTAGTTAAGTCTATGATATATTTCCTTCCTATTTGCTTTTGCTGACTCTTTTGATCACTCTTCTGACTTCATGGGCTTTTCTTTCTGCTTCCTCAAACATTATTTTTCCTTAGGAGCCCATACCTGGCCTATGAACCTTCTCACTTCCCAGTGTCCCTGGGCCATGAATCCAACAACTTTCTATATCAGGCTACACTCAATTCTCTCTCTCTAGCCCAATTCCCTCCCCCAAGATTCAATCCCCAAATCCATCTGCTTTTTAGTGACACAAAGAGACAAGGTCCATGTGAGAGTGATGAGACAGTATGACAATGAAGCAGGGTTTATTGGGAGATGTGTGTAACGAGGAGGCTGCCCGGGCCCTCACAGAGAGATACACTTCGCCCTGGGCCCTCTGGGCTCACAGTTGCAAGGTGGAAGTTGGGACAGGACAGGGGAAACTTGACTCAACCTGTAACGAAGAAGGCCTGGCCAGGGGAAGAGCCTCCTTTCCCAGCCTCCTGAGGTAGGGAGGTGTTTCAGAGCACAGGTGGTCATGGCTGACTCTGGCAGCACTGATATCAGCCAGAGACCTTGCGTGTTTTAGTCTTTGGGGTCACCAAAAAGGGGGAAAAGGGCAACCTGGGGGACACAGATTTGTTTCTCCCCACTGGATGTCTCCACCTGCAGGTGCTACAAACTCTTCAAGCTCATTGTCACATCACATTTCCGTGTGTACATGTTCTCTCTCTTCTCAGCCTCTTTGATGAGCACCAGAACCCACTTCTGTCTTGTGTCCTCTGTCCCTGGAAGGGACACTACTATGCTCTGATCATGCAAGGCTGGAACCCAAGAGCCATAGTATCCTCTCCCCATCTCTCAGTTCATTCAATCAGTCACCAAGCTCTGTAGATTTGCTCTAAGATCCCTTAAGACTTCTTCCTCCCACTCATTTCCTCTCTCAGTCATTCTCACATCACTTTTACAACAATCTCCAGCCTAGATTCCTTCAGTTTGCCTGGAGAGAGCTTTAAAAATCCCAGAATTTATATTCCCTTCTCTTCGTCTGAAGTCTGCAGTGTCTCCAGGGCCTGTAAGGAGTCTGGGGTTTTCTAAGTGTCAGCTCCCCAGCCTGACCTTCAAAGCCTGTGATCTGGTGCCTGCCTCCCTGTCCAGCCGTTTCTCTCAGTCCAAGAGCTTCGTGAGGGCAGGGCCTGTGTTTATATCTCAGCCAGTGGAGAGTGAACATTCAGTGAGGGCTCATACTTGAAGAAAGGGGCAGCCAGGGCTAAGACATGGTTCCTGACCCCCAGATCTAGCCTTGTTTTTCGTACTATTTGCTGTGGCTCTGAAGCCTCCCATGTATGGGACCTTTTTCTACAGTAGGACTTTCTCCAAATGCACTGGTTCCAGATGGTGTTTCCTCTCTCTCTCTAGCTCACTTGCCTGACCTGGTGGACACGGAACTGTCTCACCTCTGAGCTGGAGAAGGAGGCCTGGGAGAGCCAGAGGGAGAGGGAGAGTGTGCCAGAGAGGTCAGAGAGGCCAGCCTGGGAGTGCTCCTCAGGAGGAGTTACCGCAGGGAATGGCAGCCAGGGCCCGGATCAGCCTGGAGGTAGGCTGAGGGGCTGCTGGGGGGGGGGCAGGTGCCACAGAGGAGCAATAGGGGTGGATATCATGTCCTCGGTCTCCCAAGGCCCCACTTGGAGGTCACTGGAGATAGGAGTCTCAGAGAGTCCCCAGAACATCACCTTTCCTCCTTTCCCACGTGACTACTGAAATATTTACAAACTGGCCGGGGATTTAGCTCAGTGATACTGTGCCTGCCTGGCAAGCACAAGGTCCTGAGTTTGATCCCTATACCAAAACAAAAAAAAAGTTTACAAACTAAGACAGATGAGGATGGTGGATGCGAGCCAACAGATTGCCCTCATGCCAGATAAAATGTAAATAGGAAGATTTGTTTCATGTCAACTAACACTAGACAGAAGCGCCTGTCCAGTCACCGGCAGACCTGATCAAGGGCACAGTCGACCTCCTGTGTGGAAGGATGGGACTGAGACAAGCAGTTTGCCTGTTGAGTCTCCTTCACGTGCAACAAAACATCAGCATGGCAAAGAAACACCCCATCACCACCACCACTTACGTATTTGTTTCTTTCTCATTGGGCTGAACACTCCTGGCTATCGTCACATAGAAGCATGGCTGTCCCTTGTGGTAGGGGAGCAGCCATGTGTCCATCTAGCATGCCTGCCCTTAGGGGGCTGTCCCAGGACAGCCCCCACTTTTCTGTGTGTCTGCCTGAAATGCTGATGTTCATATAAACAGTGTCTCCCAGAGGGTCAGAGGTGTGTTAGAACAGCACATTAACTGAAGTACTATACTATAAGATGTAACGTACCTATTTTGGACATAATGAAGCCATGACCTTCCTGTAGGGAGATTAAATGATAATATTAAGACACTCTAAAGATAGAACAGCATCATAGAGATTTTTCACTTGCAATATTCCCAAGGAAAGTTTTAAAATCCAAGAAGTTATATAGTTTGCAGGTTAAAGTCCAAAATCAATTTATCTTGTCCTGATGAATTAAAAATTTTTAAGCCCTAAATTTATTTCCTGCTTCAGTTAGAGGGTGTCTCAATGCTGGGTGGGATTGGGGTTCTGTTGGCAGCTGCTTTTTCCCATCAGACCGGGCGAAATGTCTGAGCTCTATTCTGGAGTGCACAACTTTCCATAATTCCAGTGGGTTAAGAGCATAGATAGAATTGTCAAAGCATCATTGCTGGGCCTGCACCACTGGCAGCACTCTGCCACTCTGTTCTTATGCTTTTGCTAGATTCTGGGCCCTGTGCTGTCCTCAAGGCCTGAAGGGGTACCACCCTTCTTGGGGGCCCTCACTCTAGAGAAACAGCCACATGGCCAGAGTTAATGAAATCTTAAGCACCAGTACCTCACCAGGGTCTGAGGCTGAAAGCTTCTTGCCCAAACTGCAGCAGTGAAGAGCCAATGGTCCACTATAAAAAGCCGTACATAGGGCTGGGGATTTAGCTCAGTGGTTCAGGCACCTGCCTCATAAGCGCAAGGACCCGAGTTTGATCCCTGGTACCAAAAAAAAAAAAAAAAAAAGCCATATATAGTAAGTGTGACCTCTTATAAACTTTTGTGACTAAAACACACTTAGACTAACTTCCCAAAGCACCACCAGTGATCAGCTCACCCTGCCCAGTCTTATCAAGGCACCAAATAGTTCAGGCATATTTTCCTTGGCAAAAAAAAAATCTTTGTCTCTTTGACAAGCTTTGTGGCCCATGCACCAGATGTGAGGAGTCTCAAAACTACCTTCCCCCATCATTGCAAGGACCTGGTGCTGGCCCCATCTAAAGCTCATTGTAGGAAGACCAGCCTGTGACCCTGAGCTCCATATAGATGAAGCAGCCAGGAGACGGAGGAAAGACCTTCAACCTGTCTCCCAAAGGCAAAGAGAAGGAAACAGTTTGTACTGCCCACCTTTGAAGCCAGAGCTAGACAGACTCATGAGGACTCGCAGGACAAGTCTACTCCCTGGCTGGCCCCACTCTAGGGCAGAGCATCCCTAGAGGAGCAGTGGGATGGCTGCTCCCTGGGGGTGGCTGCTCCCAAGGAAGAAGGAGGCATTGAGTCAGTGACAAAGCCCAAAGAGGGAGATCCACACCCACTCTGCATTCCCTTTTATCAAACCCCCCCCAAGGCAGAGGGAAGAAAGGGCAGGGTAGGCTGCCTGCTGTGTGAAAAGGCTCTTCCCTTCACCAAAGGAAGTAGCATTCAGGAACTGGGAAGAAGAAGCACTTCCTTGAAGAGGCCTGCAGGGTGATGAAGGTCATGCAGTCTAATTCTGAGTCTTAAAAACATTAAAAGCTGAAAGAAGTACACACATCCCCAGTCTTAGGCTCAGGTTTATTGAGTTGTTGGATCCCACCTCATACTCACTTGGTGCCATGGGCTCACTGGACATGTGCCCACTTCAGAGGGCCACCGTGAGAATCTAGAGAGGAGGCTTGGACCAGCTTATATATAAAATGATAAATCCCAGCACAGACGTCACAGAATATGGCTCTCAGTGTGGCTCTGCAGCCAATTGACCTAGAATAGCTCTGCCCTCTTTTGTGAGCCTTTCTTGTTCTCCACAGTGAGGAAGTCCAGGCTGATGGCACCCAGGCTTCCCGCGTCTCTGACATTCTGAGGTTGCATTGAACTCACCAAGTACCATGTCCCAAAGCTATTCACATAAAGCACCTGGGCATTCTTTTCCATCTCCGTGGAAGATGCTTTATATAATTTTATTTTTAATACACTATCTCCCTTTAAAATCTTTAAAAAGATTTACTTTCTTTATTACTTCTTTTAAACTAAGTTTTAGGCACCGCACCGCCTTTAGCCTCATTGTGGGCTCTCTGTACACTGGGGAGCCTTTCAGCCTCATGCACCTTCTTGACACCACATTCGCTGGCGCCTCTCCGCTCTGCTCCAGCACTGGCAACTGTTAAAGTGCTGGCAAATCTCCATTCTCATTTGATGCTTGAGAGAAGAGCATGGCACATGCTACTGAAGCGCTTGAGGGAGAAAGAACCTGTTGCTCAGAGGACTGGTGAGATTTGCAGATGGTCTCACAGTCAGCCAAGGGCAGAGCTGGCCCTGGAGCCAAGTTCCTGGTCTCTAGTGAAGTGCCCCGCCCTACAGCAGGGCTACTGTCCGTCTGGCTCAAAGGCGCCCCTCCTTCCTGAGTGAGTGCTCCTTCCCTCCCTTCCCATTCTGGACTTAGGCTCTGAATGGAGATGAATTACATTATCCTCTCTCCTCGACACCCCACCCCACCCTGTGCAACAAGGAGGTGCTCCTGTGTGGTGACCCTTCAGAGGCCTTGGCCAAGGCCAGAGCTCAGCTGGGCCTGCGGTTTATGCAAAGGGCCCCCCACTCTCCCCACTTTCTTCAGCTTCTGACCATCTCCCTCCCGGCTCTCTCATCCCTTCTCTTTCCCCACCCTTTCCTTGCCTCCTCTCTCCTGCTGCTCTTCCACTTCTGGCTCTGTAGCCCCAGCTCTGTGCAGGTCCTGGGGAAGGCTGCTCTGGGGACGGCTCTGTGGGCTGTCTGGAGCCCCAGGACAGGTCCTGAGCCCAATAGAGAAGGCTGCTCTGGAGCAGAAGCTGACCAGCATGGAGGAAGAACCACTCTGGAGAAGCATCTGCAACATCAACGCCATCCTCTTGCTGGCTATCAGCATTTTTCTGTGGGGCTATTTTGCATGACTCCACAGACTTGGTTTCTGCCGAGACAAATTCAACGTAGCCCAAGCCTGGCCAGGTGCAGAGACAGGCTCTCTTCCTACCCTGCTCCAAACTGGAAAGCACAGAGGCTGAGCATGGACGAGGTCCTAAGGGGCATCGAATGCAACACACTTGGTGAGTGGAGAATACAAGGCCTGGAGAGAGTGCTGGGCTTGCCCCGGGCCACAGAGCAGCACTCATTCCGGATCTCCCAACTGCAGCTCCTGTTCCCTGGCACTGCCTTCCATTCCTACTTCCGAGACAGTTTCTACCTCTTCCTGAGTTTATTTAGCAATCTTTACTGTACATGTGTCTTGAGGTTAGAAAAATGAAGGAGACAAGGAAAGGAAGAGAAAAAATTTGCAAAACTCCAAGTGCACCTTTGCTCCTTCATATCCTCCTTTGTCTTTCTCTGTTCTTCAACCCCCAGCATTCTATCTGTAGGGTGAATCTGCCAAGGAGGGGCTTACATTTCCATTGGCAGTTCTACAGCTGTGGCTGTCAGAACAAAAAGAGGGAGGGGCCAAGAGTGGAACTCGAGTATGATGGCAGATGGTATTCAGGGCAGAGCGCTCTTGGACAAGGAACTCTCCTGGGCACTATTCATATTCTGCTTCTTCCTACCCTCAAAACCAAACCTGCACCAAGTCTCCAAGGCCTTGAGGACCTTAAGAGTCCAGTTGGAGAGCCATGACTTGCTGCAAGCAAAAGAAATCAAGGCCTTAAAGGTCAGCCTGGCAGGGGCAGCAAGGACAGCTTGGGAGCCACAGCACAGGGCCCTTTGTCACTCCCTTTGTCTTCCAAGCATTTGCCACCCTGGAATACACCATAACTCATTTAAGTATCCCCTGCCAGGAAGCTGCCCAATGTCCCGAACTGGGTCAGGGTCCCACTCTTGCTCCCACTGCCCCATGGACCTGCTTCTGTCAAGGCACTGCTCACAGCATCCAGTGACGTTGTCTCCCCTTAGATGGTGTACCCCAAGGGACGGGCACCAACTACTCTGTCCAACTTGACTTTTTCCCCAAAATGATAGGCACCAATAAATGCTTGTGGAATTAATAAATTCTTCAGTGTCCTGGTGTGCTTTGTGGTGTGGCTGGCAGGGCAGACCTGGAGAGTCAGCTGCTGAGGAGGAGTCTCTGAGGAAGAAGAAACCCCTGAGTGCTGGATGTCTAGACCACTACCAATACCCTGGTCCACTGGCAGATGCAGATGAGAATATCCTTCCCTTCCCTTCCCCTGGCTCCCTGCCTGGGCCATCCCTACTCTCCTCTGATCCTCTCTAATGCTGCCTTTGATCATCATTTTACACTAATGTGTAATCATAAACTGGATGCAAATAAAATTCTATTTCTTTGAGGTGCGGATGCCTCTGAGCCTATGAATACCTCCCATTGCTGCTGCCTCCAGATTTTTGTTACCACTGGCCTTTTGACCTGACTAAGTGTCATCTCAGTTGCCTGGTTCCTCCTTTGTTCCCCACTGACTTAGACTGAGAGCTGAACTTCCCCCTAAACCATTCACACAAGTCATTTGTAGACAACAGATGGTAATGAAGGTTTAGAACGGGAAGAATTTTAAACCAGACAAGTACCATCTAAAGTTGAATGGTGACCATCTTTAATCATTCAAACTTAAACATTCCCCAACACCCTGATAGGTACAAGAATTCCTCACAGGCTCAGTCTCCAACCCCAGGCTCCTACAGCAGCTCTGAGTCTCCTCCCTCCTTGCAGTTACATTCACTTCTCTTGCTTCATCACCTTTGGCTCTCCTCCCCGTCTTTATTATGCTGAGTTTCTGCTGGGCTCCATACTTATCCCATCTTTCCCAACTTCACATCACCCTGTTAAATACAGTAGTGCTATGGGAAGAATCCTCCCTTCCTGGTTAATTTCTACTTGCTCCTCCCATCTCAGCTCAAAATTTACATCCCAAGAGAAGCCATACTGTCCCAGTCACCATGACTACTGTCTCCTGTATCCCAGAATAGATGAGTCCCCAACACATGGCCACCTGACTACATCCAGTATGTGTGTCCGAGTGTTCATATAACTCTTTCATTTATGTGCATCTCCTTCCCTAGATTGAGTGCTCCGTGCTGAACTCCCGTCACTTAGAAAGATGCCTGGCACACGATGGGTGCTAGAAAAATATATTATATGAATAAATAAGAAAGAAGGAAAGAAGGAAAGAAAGAAAAAGAGGAGCATCTTCACCAGAGAAAACAAAATATTCAAAAACAAGGGTAAAAAAAGTGACAGTATGACCAGAAGTGAGAATAGTTTAAAATGTCCAGCATGGCCAGTACACATGGCTGGGGCCACTGATCATCCTGATGGCTTCTTCACACAAGTGAGCAAAAGGCCTTTTTCCTCCTTGGCAGATATGGCCTCCCGCTGTAGGGCTGTAGATGGCAGCCCAGCTCAGGCTCACTGCAGCCCCCGCATCCCCCTGCCAGGTGTGGGAGTGGTAGCCCAGTGCGGAGAGGAATGGCTGGTGCAGTGGCTATGAGGCAGGCAGGTGTTGGCTCAGGGAGAAAGTTCTCTCCTAAACTTGGGCTTCTCATCTCTTACCTGATCATTGTAGCAGCCCTTTGACTCTGATCTCTGCTCCCATTCTCTCCTTTTCTACTTCAACCTATGCACTATAGCAGGAGTGTTCTTTCTAAAATACAAATCTTGTCTTTAAGATTCTCTACAGACGATGTTTTCTGGCTTGGCATGAACCCCTACTGCTATAAATAACTGCAGGAAATATCTCCAGTGTTTAGGCCTTGGGCCACTTTTTCCATTCCAGCCAAAGAGAGGCTATCCAGGAGTTAAGAACAGAGGCTTAAGACTAAACTTCAGGAGCCAAATTCTAGCTCTGACATTTGCTAAATACGTGACTTTGGGGAAGATGCTTCTCAGACCCAGTTTTCTCACCCACAAAATGGAGATGGTAATTGCAGCTATTTCTTAGGGTTGTTATAAGAATTAAATGAGTTAATTCAAATAAAGTATTTAAAATAGTGCCTGGCACATTACTTTAATAAACATTAGCTGCTCTTACTACCAACGGTACAGGTGAAATGAATACATAGAAGGCATGACACTCCATAGTAATGTTATTTTAGAGCGAGCACAACATATCAGAGCAAAGAACAGGAATAATTAATTGTACTGGGAGAATCAGGAAAGGGGATACTAGGAAAGTGAATATTGGAGCTGGGGTTTAGAGTATGGGTGAGACTTTCCTAGAAAACTCTCATACAAGGCAGAGGGGCGGCATGTGTGAAAATGGTAAAATACAAAAGTACACATGGGGTTCCCCCAAAATGAGGATACTGCCTACTCACTTGCAAATATCGACCCTATATGTCTAATTTTCCCTTGTAAGTCATGTTGTATTTTAGCCTCTTTCCTCTAAGGCAGAGCCATGGACCAGGGACAGGAGAGAATGGGCGCTCAACCACTGGAGCAGAGACAGTCTGAGCCATGCCCACATCCCCTGGGTGTCACCAACCTGTTTGCTCTGGCTTCCTGCTGAAAGTCTGTTCAGCCGCTCTCTTCTGAAGCCTTTCTTTGGCTGTGGAAAGATGCTCAGCCTCCTGCACAGAACAGGCTGGAAGTGCTGGGAGTTAACGCACCTTGGTGTAGCCCTGAACCAATGGTGAACAAATGCTGGTGATAAGCACAGCTGGTTTGTTACCCTCAAGTGAGACAACAAGGATGCCTGTTCCAAACCATCTCAGAGGTTTTCAGTGGGACGGAATCCCAGTCACTCACAGCATCAATACCATTAACACACCTTGTACACCTCCCTTCACTTTCCTGTCTTAAGCCAAAATTCTCTGCTGGAGTTTCCTTGGATCTTCTCCCAAATAAATTATTAGAAGCTCATCTCATGTGCTACTACTGGGAAACCAAGATAAGAAAGTATTTTAGAAGGAAATCAGGCTTCTTAGATCCCACACATCTCTTCTACCAACTTTTCTGCCTCCTCCAAACTCCCAAGTTGGTTTTTGTCCTTCCTCTGAGCCCCACAGGCCCCTGTTCTTTCTACCACAGCAAGTCTCACGCCAGGGTATAATTAGTTATCTCTCCTTTGCCGTAGACGGGTGCCGTTTGAAGATAGGCATTGTGTTTGTGCAGGGATTTCGTGGTGTGAGGGCACTTAGTTAAGTGCTCAGAAAATGTCCAAGGAGTGAGTGAATTAAAGAACGTTAAATTAAATTATAATATTTTTATTCTGGTTATTCCCTAGTTCCTAACCATAACCAAGAGAAATGAAAATGAACAGTGTCTGTACAGACTTCAGAGTTACAAAGCCCTGCCAGGTATGAGGTCTCATTAAATTTCCAGCATCTACTAGAGACAGACAGAGAAGTCGGAAAGGCAGATCATACCCAAATGTGAGCTCTCTATAACTTTGCAGGACTCCTGCTCCAACCAACCCCCATTCACTGCCTGGAGTAGGGGTAAATCTAGGGCTCAAAAGCTAGTATTTTAGCTTAATAATCCTACTACTTGCTTTGTGACACCCCCCTATCCCATTCTTCAGTTTTTTCAGCCCTGAGAAAGAGGAGGAGTGCGAATGTTTGACCCCTCCAGCATTACTCCCCTGCGGTTCTGATCTGACTCTGCATTTGTCACGTCGGGGCAGTGAGTAGGCAGGTTGGTTGGTGGTACCCGAGGTGTATGGGGAGATAAGGTCACACACCAGCTTCAGTGGCAAAGGCATAAATAGTAAAAAATACTGAAAAGTTGTTTTTGGAGAATTGAAATGGATTTGCCATGAGCAATAATAAAGTTAAGATCCTGCTTTAGACTGTGAAAGGATGGTGCTTAAAAACAAATAGTGTTCTTAAAAATACCATGAAGAAACATTTTTTAAAGTGATTTGCAATTGAGCTTGGACCACAGAAGCACTCAATTTAACACGTGAGACTTACACTCCTGGGTGTGAGAGTCCACATCCATCAGAGCCGTGGGAGCTGCTGGAACCCAGGCAACAGCAAGGTCAGTTTACCATTAACCTGGAGTGAGTGTCTCTGTAGACTTTAGGCCATAAGTAAGAAAGTGATAATTTTTTCTTTTCCCCAGGGTGAAAGTTGGGAGAACTTTAAAGGTTATATATAAATATAAATCTTAGAGACTTATGTTGCGGTAGTTACAGTTTATTTCATATTTCAAAATCAAATCTCAACCTTGGCCCAGATTCAAAGAGCAGAAACGTCAGACTTTTTACTGTGATCTTATATTAAATCTATAACTTTCACTTAAAGAGGGAAACAAATCCCCTAACCTTTGTACATTATTTCCCGATAGAATATGAAAGCTTTGGACCATCTCTCAGGATGGACTGTATGCAAATTTTAGAGTTACATATATTCAATGAGGGGAACCCCAGAAGCTGGTTAGACTGGTACAGCCCCCTTTCCTTCTCAGCCCATGTCAGAACCTCTCTGAACAGCCTCCCCCATCCGTGAGGCTAACACCTCCCATGATGGGCTCGATGACCTCCTAAGCCACAGCATCCAACACTGGAGTGCAAGGACAACTGAGCAGTGCTTCCTTTTATTGGGCACACTGTGCATCCCCACCATTTCCAACCACTTATATGAACTAAGCAACTTGAAAATAACTCAAAGAAATCATTTGCCCCCAAACTGTATCCCCACTATTTACTACATTATTGTCTTCTTAAAGGAATAATTCACAAAACAGGAAGTTACCGATAGAAGTGTGAATTGACCTGGAATGAGAAGTGTACAAAGATTAATAAAACTGGTAATTTTAAGAAACCCTCACATTTATTTTATAAAAGAGCACTTCCACATCAATCATCTCATTTGGTTCTCAACGCCAATCCAAGATGCTGAATCCTTTACTAATGAAGAAACAGACTCAGAGAGTGGAAAGGATTTGTCCAGGTCCTGCCACTTAGTAGCCAAACTGGTCCTTAAACTCAGACTTCTGACCACGTACAGCCCTACCCCCACTGCACTGCCCACACATGCAGTATGCTTTGTAAATGCTACCCTTTCC